TACCCGCGGTTTCTTTACTGTCCTGGTGCCTGATGATTGTCCTGCGATAATGTCCTTCTTTCCAGTTCGAATAGCCTCCTGGAATCTGACTCTTCTATGTCCACCTCTAGCCGATGTATCTCCGTTTTCGATCTGCATCTCATCAATCTTCGTAATGATCTTGTTGATTTTCCGATTGATTGTGCCTAAACCTTTTCCATCTAGATCCATCTCGTCGATTCCCTGGGTGACGTTGTCGATATCAGCTTCGAATTTGGATTTTTGCTCCCCCTCGACGAGTGGGATCTGATCCGGTTCTGGTGTGGTAGGAAGTGATATGAGTGCTGGAATTTCGGGTGAATCGGGTTCGACTAGGCTTGGGAAAGGGTCTCCTGGCTTGTGTGCTATAGCCTCCACTGCATAGATACCGTCTTTCTTTGGTATGTCCAAAATGCATTCCCAACCTTTGTGAATCCTGATGTTGTCGCCACTGAAAATGACTTCGTAACCGTCCTCGGTGAGTTTACTGATAGATATCAACGTGTGTCTGAATTTCGGGACGAGTAGACAGTCGGCGAGTACGATCGTGTGCCACTGGAAATTGTTGGTGGTGTACACAGTGCAGTTGCCTTTCTCGACGGCGAATGTGGTTCCTTCTGGTGTACCGATGGGTCTGTGAGTGATGGACTGGCGTTCGGTGATACCGTTTCGGTAAGGAGTCATATGGGAGGATGCGGCGCTGTCAAATACGAATTTGACTACCCCCTCCTCCTCTTCGAACTTCTCCGTAGCCATTTGCGCACTATCCCTTTCTTCCTTTGCCTGTGCCCAGATATCATTGTAGGCGGCGGCGACGTCTACGTGTTCCTTCTTGCCTGGCTCTTCGATCAACCACCTGCTAACAACTTTCTCCCCCATAAAGGTACGATTGGCACTGTTGTAACACAATCGGCATACCCTATGGTCAATGGTGACGTGCTCGAATCCTTCGTCTAAGAAGTCGCTGACGGTCTGGACTACTCCAATGACGGTGCGATCACTCGTCTTGGGTGTGTGGCAAGTACCGGCTTCGCAGTTGGGGTCATAGGTCTGATACCCGACGAAATAGTCATGAGCAAGTTCGCCTTTGAGGGTTCGGTTGACGACTGGGGGGCATGGCCAAGGTTCGCTTTCGTAGTAACCTTTCCAGCTGTTCTCGTTGTTGTACATGTCGATGTTAAGAGATGAGGATGAGTTTAGAGATGAGGTTGCTTTGACAGCGGTAGATGGGATGAGTACTGGTGATGCTGGTTCTCGATATTCCTCTTTGCTTTTATAGGAGTTTTGCTGGCAGTCTTGGAACTGTTCTGCTTCGTCTTGTTGAGAATCCACTCGATCTTCTCTGCCCATGATGATTTTGCTGTCAATCGGGGTCTGTAAATCGACCATTGTGGCCATGGTGGTGTGCATTTCCACGGCCATGTATGCTGTTTCCTCGGATTTCTCTTCAATTTCCTTGGTTCCGAATTCTTCATCGTAAAACCATTCTCTTGGTGGATTAAACTGTTCCACTGCTCGGATTTCCCTGGCTAACCATGTGCCTTCTTCCCATATTTCTTCTTCCATCGCTTTAACAGCACTTTCCTTGGTACTGCTTGCCTTCTCTTTGCCTTTTCGCCATGATTGGCTATCTTTAGCTTGCTTGGACTTCTCTTTATCCTCGGATTCATCATCCGATTTCCTGGATTTTGGCTTTGTAGCACATTTTGCGGCGATATGTCCTTTTCCTTGACATCTGAAACATGTGATCTCCTTGCGATCTCTATCTCCGCCCTGACGATCATTAAATCTCCGGCCTCTTCCTCGGCTATTAAATCCTCGGCCTCTATTATTGGAATGATCTCGGGAATAGTTGGCTTCCTCCTTCTTGACTTTGCCTCGGCGCATTGCTTGTCCGTTTGCTTCAGCTCGAATAGCAGCAATCAGCTTGTCAACAGTTAAATCCTTGTTTGATTCACTGTATACGGTCATGACAGCTGTGATTGTTGAATTTAATGATTGGGGAACTGATGCAATTAATGCATTCTTGAACTGGTCATCCGAAATAGTGATGTTTCGTGATGTGAGTTCGTTTCGGATATTGAGGAGTTCGTCAATATGCTCATTGACTTTGCCAACGTCGTTGCAAGATAGATTGTAGAGCTTGTGTTCCAGGTGTGCTTCTGTCAAAGGATTTTTCGTGTCGTAATCCTTCTTTAATCCTGTCCATAGTTCTTGTGATGTCTCCGCATTTCGATATCTTCGAAGAATAGTATCCGGCAATCTTCCAATAATTGCATTCATGAGATCGGCATCTGCGTCTCCTTCTTGTGCAGTAGTCAGGTATTTCCCATACCCTATCGACTTTGCTGCACGTTCTACACGCATTGCCCACATGCCCCAGTTTGAACCATCGTCCTTTAACTTGGTGCATTCGGCAAATGCTTTGACTGCTTTAGACATGTTGTCTTCTTCTTCGTCTGAATCAAATGATTCTTCCTTTGGTGGTCTCTTGGGAGATGGTGTTCTCGGTTTGGGTTTGGGACCTATGCTGGGCGATTCTGGTTGATCATCCTTCTCTTCTTCGTCGGGTGTTCCTTTCTCTTCGTCAGATACAGGTTTATCAGTTTCAGCTGCTGATTCCTGTTCTGAGTCCTGTTCTTCTTTATCGGATTCTTCAGCAAATCCTAATCCTTTTTCGAACTCTTCAGCAAGTTCGGTTTCCTGATCAAACTCTTCAGCAAGTTTGGTTTCTTCTTCAACGGTTTCTTCCTGTGAAGCTGATGTTCCCGCTGGTGGGAATACTAATGGTTGTGGTTCTGGTACTGTTGTTCGTAGGACGTTTCCTCAAACTACTGTTTCGTTGTGATCGTCACAATCCCTAAAATTTCCAACTAATAACGCTTCCTTTGGAGTCCTGACTCGATTTCTTCTGTTTGGACACGGTTGTTCTTCGCAAAGTTCCCACTTCCGTTTGTTGAGATCTAAGTAACAATCTCGTAGTTCGTCGACGTTGAACTGATGTGGCCAATGAACACAGATTAAATCTGTTCGAAGTGTGGGTTGTGCGGAAGATGCTGGTGGCGTGTGTAATCCTCCAACTGGACTCTGTCTCCTAGAAGGTATACGTGATGGGTTTCTCTCTGGATGTGATGATATGCTCTGTTGCTGTCCCGATGGACTGCCTGTTCTACTGCCTACTGGTGTAGGTTGCCTGCTAGGATTCCTGCTGGGATTCCTAGATCCTCGTAATATTTGTTCTGGGTCGAATGTTCCTGATACTGGGGTACCGCTTCTGGATTGATAACGGCTTCCTCTATCGGACATACACTAGTCCAATAGTCCTTTGCTTTGGGTAGGGGATATTCCGGCGTCCCTGCTCGCCAATCGATATTCGATCTTGGTTCTTGTTCCTTGGGGATATTACGGCGTCCCAAACTCGCCACTATACCAATATGAAATCGGTATTACTCTGGTTCGGCTAAGGTTTATAGACCGGGGCCCATAACCTGTCAGAGTTTTAGATTGAACTCTGTTAGCAGCGATAGCGCAGGTAAGCGCGAATAAACGATAGCAGATGACCAGAGGCCTTGAGATAGAACCAAGTGATGAACTGATGTGATTCGATTCGATGTTGTATGTAGGTTTTCTGTCTAGCTTTTATACATGAGTAAGGGATGAAAGATAAACCTAATAGCACAAGTATAGACGCGATAGAAATAACTGTGGCTTTGTGTGGCTTTCTGTAAGTAAGTGGGTTAGACAAAATGATACGAGCGGGTCAAGAGATATTCTAAGATGTGGCATGCATATGTAAATATAAACGTTCTATATTTCCAACACAACCCGGGCCCCTCAACAGTGTCACCGCGGCGCTCAGCGTCGGCGAACGGGCGCTGCGGAGAATGAACAGGGCAGTGTTGACGCCAGATGTGATGTCGAGGGATTTCAAGGTCGAGGGAAATTCGACATTGGTACGGTCATTCTGGTTAAGGGTGTCGTGGAAGACCCGGATTGTGAGGTGCTGGAGCGGGATGTTGGTTTTGAGAATGTTCAAAAAATACGGGAGGCCCACAATGTCACTCATTTCTAGGATGGTCGTAGAATGAGTGATTGGATCGGGGAACATAGCCTTGTCATCTAAGATTGTTGCTACCCAAGGGGATGAAGCCCCAAGGTATGTGAAGGCTCTCCATGGTTTCGACTTCAGTTGAACCATGGAGGGACACCCCGAGATGCGATCCTTGACAGCATCTGGATGGAAGTGACTGGGCACCGCGTAGGGTTCGATGAATTCGATGATAACGTGTAGTTGGTGCGAACCAGCTAGCTCGAGGAGCTTAGTGATGTGCTCCCTCACTACGGGGTGGTGTTCACCGCAGTGAGCTTTACGACGAAGGCGTATGTTGCTGAATAATCGAGGGTTGCCGGTAACTTCGCAGTAGAGTCTGAATGATACCCGTGTCATCACAGTGAGCAAGGGACACTGGATGTTTGGAATAGGATCGTAGATGTTGGGACAAAAATCGTCGACTTGAGTACTAGGGGAGTAGTGCTCCAGGATGTTTGCGAGAACGTTGGGAGGACATCGATGAAGAGGGGATGAATATGATCGAAGTCGTTGTTGATATTGGACTAGTGCGTTGTGAAGTCGAGAATATTCGCCATCATCCAATCCACCAATGCCTCCACAATCGCGGATGTTCTTCAACTGCATGGCGGCCTCATTTATCTTGGATTCCAGATCCTGAATTGAAGCTGTATTCAGCCCGATAGAATTCCTATATCATGGTCAGTCTCGAGAGAAGCACATGAAAGAGTATGTTTACCTTGGCAAAGCCGGGAGTGTCAGAATGAAATTCTTTAACCAGTCGATATTGAGCGGGAGCGCCATCGATGTTTGAGTTTGAGAGAGGGTAATAAACGTATGCAAAGAGGCGAGCTTGCTCTGACAACGTGCACAAGTCAGCGACATAGCGATGTGAAAATAGACTACATACCAGGCATATGTGGTGTAGTGGTATGCACGGCGTGATTAGGCAATTAATGCTGAATGACGCGGGTGCAGGTTCAACTCCTGCCTTATGCATGGCAATCCGCCGCACCGAGTGTCTGAAACTCCTTCGGAGGAGTACGACACTCGGTGCTGGCGGGGGCCTTTTTCGCACAAAAGGCTATGAGTTGCAGGGTTCGAGGAGACGTTGAATGTAGTTAGCGTGAATTGAATGGCGGACGGACTCGTGGGTTACCTGAACCGTCAAGGCAGGTGCCACACAGTGACGGGTCATGAAGGCCGTCGCGAGTCTCTCGCCTGAATGGTTTCGGGCTGATCGTACAAAGATTTATTCGATATGTTCAGGTATTGGCGCTTGAGAAAGAGTGCAGTGGGTCGACACAAAGGTCACAGTTTAGACAAACTGTAGCGGCTATTCTCGTGATCGTCTTGAAAAACGGAACGCAAAGCCAGTCGAGGAAGGGAGCTAAAGCAATGAATTAGTTTGTGCACAGGACAAGACAGCCAGCACGTACTTGGTTATGGGATTTAGATGTGATGGCTCATATAAACTGTCCACGGCTTCAGAGTACGGTGACAGGTCGTTAGAACCATGATCGAGTCTCGATCCAAGTGCTGAGTCGCCGTGTGAAGCTGCATAGATCATCTTCGACAATGAAAATGGGCTATATAGAGAAGGATTGGAATGGCTGGAGTGAGATGTACGACACAGTTCATCCGAACTATTGTCGTTAGGCCAGGCAGCAGGGTTCATTGGAACCGTTTACCCTTAGTCAAAGAAGAGAGATATGCAAGAAAAAGAACGTTCTTCGATGGTATTCACTACCAAAAGTCATTCAACGAAATGCGAGTACGAATTATATGACTTACGATGAACAGTTTATGTGACCTGTCAGCCTCGTATCACCTCCGGCACCGCTCCCATGAACTGTGACCTATTCGGGGCCAACTACGACCCAGCCCAACAATTCCAACCCAAGCTACCTTCTCTGGTACCTTCAGATGCATCTTCGGATAACATCGAAGAGGATAAAGATGACGGAGTATATGAACCGTCGTTGATCCCTGACCTCCACCATGACCCATATGAACCGTCGCCTAGGCAGCAAAAAAAAAGAACGTTCTTCGATGGTATTCACTACCAAAAGTCATTCAACAAAATGCCGGTACGAATTGTATGACTTACGATGAACAGTTTAGGTGACCCATCGCCCTCATAGCACCTCCGGCATTGCTCCTGTGAACTGTGACCTATTCTGGGTCGTACTTGACCCAGCCCAGCAACTCCACCCCAGCCAACCTTCTCTCGTACCTCCAGATGCATCTTCGAATAACATCGGAGGGGATAAAGGTGACGGAGTATATGAACCGTCGTCGATCCCTGACCTCCACCATGACCCATATGAACCGTCGCCTAAGCAGCAAGAAAACGAATGGTCTGAGATGCCTTTGACTCCTCAATGATGACCTACATTATATAAATGTCATTCAACGAAATTCGAGTACAAATTGTATGACTTACGATGAACAGTTTATGTGACCCGTCCTCCTCGTATCACCTTCAGCATCGCTCCAGTGAACTGTGACCTATTCTGGGTCAAGTACGACCCAGCCCAACAATTCCAACCCGAACTACCTTCTCTCGTATCTCCAGATGCATCTTTCAATAATATCATAGAGGATAGAGGTGACGGAGCATATGACCCGTCGTCCCGGTATTATCTTGATGAAGGTTCCTATGAACCATGGCCGTATGCCCTACTCCTGCTATGCAGATTATCAAACATTCCAACACTCTCGTCACATCAGCTCGACACGTACCTCTGGAATTCGTTGTACCTCACCCACTCTCTACTACGGTCGTCGTTTTAGGCATGGTCAAAGGCAAAGGTCCGGTGAACCGTGTGATCAGTGGCACTGCCTGCTTACCGGTCCCGAATTATCACACGAATGCTATATTTCTATTTGATATTTGATATTTTTTATGTATCTTTGACGTACTGCAACTAAAAAATCTTGGGACTTGAATCTACAGTTGAAGGTATGTGTGCGGGCGCACATCAATTTTCGGGCCCGAGTCACATGTATTTGCGCGCTTGCACTCACGCGGCTGCCCCGATTGTAGAGCGGAAGGTGGACGACCTATTCCAGACGCCCATGTCCGTCGATTGGCCCTGTATCTGGATTCTGGATGGAATGGGTACTGGAATCGAATTCGAAGATGACCAACACCATTACGGACCACGCTTCATACGCCTACTTGTTCTTGATGCTCTATCAGCCAGCTAGACCACGGTACAGCACGACAATTTACCAGCCTTTGACAGAAGATATGAGCTATTCATTTCCCCATCCTTCACCCCCACGTCTTTCCACACACATTCTCGCTATCCCTTGCCCTTCTTTCGTCCCCTCTCTTCCTTCCGCACATCCTGTCGCTCATTGTTAGCGACATCTCGTAGCATTGACGCCCTTGCATCAAGCGATGTCTTTCAATAACCCAAATCAAGTCAATATCGGTGGGAATGCAAACAACGTAGTTCACGGAGATCAGAATAACTATGCATATAATGTTACTTCGGATACAGGCGAGTAACCAATATTTCGTCGTTAATGTGCGCTATAACTCATGCTCACACAGAGACTCAGCGCAAAGCCTCAGATGAAAGTGAGCAGTCAATGGAATTGATGAATGATGGGTTGACAGTCCAGCAGAAGCCGTATGGACGCTAGCGCAGAATGCTGCCCCGAATGTGTGCTACGATTCAGAACAGCGATTTCCTCCTCCAAATTGTCATGAAGGAACACGCCTTCAGATCCTTGAGAAGTTATCGAGCCGGATCGAGGATAGGTCCAGGGCCAACAGCGTCCTTTGGCTCCACGGCTCAGCAGGCGTCGGAAAGTCAGCGATTGCACAGCATCTGGCAGAGAAGTACGCCAGAAGCGGCAAACTTGGTGCAGCGTTCTTCTTCTCCCGAAGCGATTCGAGTCGGGACAAGATACGCCCCCTCGCAGCTAGTATCGCGTACCAGTTCTGCAAACCAGGAACACCTTTCCGCACCACCCTTGGTCCCGCTATCATCGATACAATCCGTTCCGATCCCAACATCTTCCATACTTCTTGCGAGAACCAAGTTCAACAACTGTTGGTCGAGTTATCTTGCAACCTGCACACTGTAGCCACAAAAGAGCAAGGGTTCCCGCCGTACCTTATTGTTATTGACGGTCTCGATGAATGCATCAACAGACCTGAGCAGGGGCGGGTTCTGGCTATCATTCAAGCCTTGATCTCTCATTCAGCTTCCTACTTTTCCTGGATCATCCTCCTCTGTAGTCGTCCCGAGCCCCAGATCCGTCATGGCTTTAACCACCACGGTTTTATCGGGCACTTAGAAGTCTTCGATGTCAACTCATTGGACAGTGTCAATCGTGATATCCGTCGATACCTCGTTGACAATTTCGCCACTCTCCGAACGAAGTATCGACACGCACTAGGGCAAGGAAAGTCGTCATGGCCTGGGGAGGATGTCATTGGGAAGCTCGTTGCGAGAGCTGACGGACAGTTCATCTTCGCAGCCACTGTCATCAAATACCTCGACGTTGACGATGAACCCCCGCAGGATCGTCTAGATACCATTCTGCGTATCCACGTTGTGCAAGGCGAATCTCCTTATTCCCCATTAGACATGTTGTACCACCAGGTTTTGTCGAGTTGTCACAAATGGGACAAGGTGCAGCCATTGTTACGCTTACTAGTCACTCCCCACCATACTTCGATCAACGCACCTCATGACGAGTACCTCAATAGATTGAACCCGGAGCCACAGTGGCGCTCATTTGAAACGCTCGCGCTGCTCTTGAATTTCCAAGTTCACGAGGTTTCCACCCTCTTAATCCGATTACACTCGGTTCTGCGGATTCCGGAAGGTGTCAATCAGGAACAGGACATACTCTTCGCACATGCCACCTTCCCGGAATTTTTAGCAGACCTCAATCGATCTGGCAATTTTCACGCTCCCGCCATGTCGGAGTTGGAATACTGTGAATTTGTAGCCATACGCCTACTTCGCACGCTAGTAGCATTTATACCATCATATCCCCTATATTACTCACAGCCCTTCAATATGGCCAAATCCTCGTGGGCTCAGGAACTCCAGAGTGCAAATTGGTTTGTTCGATTCGCCTGCCAGTCGTGGGACTACTACTGCTCAAAAGTAATCTCGCCAAGTGAAGATTTACTTCGAGAGCTGGAGAACACGGATCCCTATGTCATCGTAGCCATCTCCGTAGAGCTCGATGCGGGTTTACCCTTAGACTGGGTTGATGTTATTAAATGGGCAACGGTTGTCTTTCACTCATATGTTAATGGGCATAGTCTAACAAACTGTAATGTACAGGCTCTGGGAGATCCAAGGATAGACGTGCTTGCGGAGAAGTTAAGAATAACAATGACGGAGGTGCATATTGCACTTGGGCCGTGTTCAGATGATTTATCTGGAATACGCGTCGAAGGATATTCAAAGGCATCTTCAGCACTGAACAATGGCTACTAGGTCCAGGCGGAATCAGTGAGTGCACAAATCTTTCGAAAAGATGCAATGTTTTACAAAGACTCAGAATGCCTTCCCAGCTTTCAAATTGTGATCCGGCCTCATTCAATTTTATTGCATGCAGAGCATCCCCGGTCGTCATACAATCCTCTGAGAACACATTTCTCGTGGTGCGAGAGACATAAATACACGGAAGGGGAGGTGTCGAATACCGTACTGTCAGTGCGTGTCACAACGGGTCTTTATCATGTCTTCACGTGAGGATATGTAGGGCACTCAATCTTTCGGACACCTGGTACATCAGAATTAGATTATTCGTCTATTATTCTGGGCTATGTAGTGGACAGTAAGCTTACCCATTTCTAATAATTAACTTTCTATAACTCAGTAAGAGTTCAGAGGATGGTCCTGGTATGTGGACGTTACTTGTTTGAGCCAGTACTCAGTCCTATCAATAGGTTCTGAAGTTAGGAGGAAGACCTTATATGCTTTGCGGGGGTTTTTTTCCAAAAGGACACTTAATTA